TCTATCTATCTATCTATCTATCTATCTATCTATCTATCTATCTATCTATCTCAAACACATTTGACATTACTTTTGGCAGCTATCATAGCGCCCTTCTCCATGAGCTCCTTAAGAATATCGACAAGAATGCACGCACACATTGGTAGCACAAATGCACAATCAGACACGCACGCACACACACACACACACACACACACACACACGCACACACACACACGTGTACACGCACGTACACACACATACACACATGCAAATACATGCATTCATCCACACCTAAACACACACACACGCACACACTCACACACCAACACCAACACATACAAACACAGGTGTATGCCCACGTACACTCACACACACACACATGCAAATACATACATTCATCCACACCTGAACACACACACACACACACACACACACACACACACACACACACACACACACACACACACACACACAAACACGCATGAATGGAAGGAAGAAATAAGCCAGGAAGATAAACCAGAAGTGCTTCTATAACTCTTTTCTCTTCGTTGATTCCACAGATCGGCAAGTGGCACTCACGCTATGGACTACTTGACAACGACCAGGATCTTCCTGTGGACCCCATCTACCCCCAACAAAACTATACGGAATGGAGGAAAGTTGTCACTACAATACTGGTCAGTTCTGTCATTATAGTTTTTAAAACCCTCACTTCTCTGACAGTTTCCCTATCCGCACTCGGACTCTTGTGGTGCCGGTGAGCTCAGAGTAACTTGCAATATCTATTTGAAACTTTTTCATTCCCATTCGCATTCAAAGTTCATAAAAAGCACATTTCCCTTTTGTACATTGTTCTCTCTCGTAAATTATTGGTAGAAACTTAATTTTCTTTTTAAAAAATACATCCTCTGCAACACATAATTATTATGGTAGTTCTGCACAATCCGGATCTCAACATGTGTCCCCCAACCAGTGAAACAACACATTGTGAACATTAACACACTGATGCATAATATATAATATGGGTGGAGGGTACCATTCACGTACTGGTTTGTTTTTTTTTGTCTTTGATTTTTTCCGACCTTCTCTCCCCCCCCCCCCTCACCTTACTGGAACCCTCCTCTTTCTTTTCCCTTTTCGAAGCAACACTGAACCAAACGCTCGATCTCTAGAATGACTTTCGTGCCGATTAGTATTTACTTTGACAATCCCCCACTTCTTCAACTGTTTACACATACGTTTCACTCTAAACCTTTTCGTCTTTAAGGTATACGGTGTGTGTGTGCATGATTTTGCCTGGGCAATATGCACATAATAATATAACAATTTATGTATCGAAACGATAAGATTCATTAACACTGATATAGCACCAATAAGTCGAGAGAGATAGCAATTAAGGAACACCCGAACAGTGCCATCATTACAGGACACTAAGGCGACTCTGAATTACTCCCCATCCCTCCCCCTTTATTCCTCCGTCTTTGGGATTTAGCGTACCTCTCACTCTCGTTTGTGCGTGATGTAAGAACAAGAGAAAGTACAAACATAAGAAACTATCAACAATGCAACTGGGAAACTGAACATAGGAAAAGATTTTCTTTGTCTGCAAGATGTCCACTCAGCTTCTTTGTGCACAACGTGTTGCTGGTTCAGTTGGTATCATGCTGAGATATGGTGCGGAGGACCAATGTTAAAATCCCTAACTTGACATGTAAGAGGAGTTTTCAACGTTTTTCACTAGCTTAGCTGAGTCTTAAACTTAAAGGAAAAGGATGTAACCTTTCTAGGTCCCGCATCTAAAATAACATTACAGTGTTGAAGGGGGTATAAAACCAATACTTAACACCAGTCCATCCTTCATGGAGAAGACTAAGGAACAGCGCACGGATACTGTTGTCAGAGGGAAGTGTTTTGCTACGTGGAACGATGCCGCTAGTTTCAGACAATTTCAGATCGCTAACGTGCTGTTGTCACTGACACAATATCCATGCCTTTCAGCCACTTACCCTCAATCTTTCCCAAGAGCCCTAGTTCCAAGCAATTTCCACCATTCTTCTCAGGATCACCACTAATGTCAGATCGTCTTTTATCAAGTTTTTAAAAAATGCTAATTTTTTTTTCTCTTCGAAATTTGTAATCCAATCAGAAGTATATGAGTCACGCGCATCGGACCTGTCGGTATCCTGACACATTCTGAACAGTGTAGTGTCACTTTGGTCAGTACGTACTGCCTTTCACTTTGTCACTCGAACCAGTGTAGATCGTCGACACGAGACCCGGAGTGCACTGAGGAATTATTTAATTTTCTGTCCTGGGAATTTCGTGATTAGTTGTCGCCCACATGTCTGTCACCACTCCGTGTTCTTCATATTATTGTAATGCCCCTGCCTCTACAGTGCGCTGACCTCTATTGAGATGCTGATATCTGGTCGAACTATGGTAGCCCGGATTATAATCCGATCCAATGAGAAAATGATAGTGTGGCACGTGAATCCTGGTCAAATATTCTGTACTACAATTGCTACTTTGTTGAACTGTATTGCATTAAATGGTGACAGCTTGTGCGTTCAAATCCACAAAGAACTGCAAGAGACCAAAGCTTTAGGTGGTTGAAGGAAGCCATGATAAGGAAGTTGAGTAGAGGAACATTTTAACTCCGTATTCTTAAAAGAAATGAAAAGTGTCTTTTACATATGACGTATTATCCACCCACACGTGACCCTCCTTGGAGTCAGACCGTGGGTATGTATAGCCTACTAGTAAGTTCCGAAAGCAAGACTAAATTTTACTGTTACTGAAAGTTGAGTCAATCGACTTCAACAATATTGTGCGATTAGCATTCACTAAAGCAATTTATTCACCCTTTCTCATCGTCTTCAAGTCAAGATATCAACTTGACGTGCGTATTTGGCCCTATCCATTTTTGAATCGGAGATAACTTCAAAAAGTTTCCACAGCAGGGTGTACGATATTTTTATGCGTGGTATTATTAGAGAGCTATAGTTGCCAATGGGACAGCTCTGACCTACAGATGATGACAACACAAAATATATAACATACCGCTGTATTCGTTCTTTAAGGAATTTTGTATAACAATATATGTACCTAGGCACACAAACTAACTTTTTAAACCCGAGATTTCAAGCATACTTTCAGGGACTGTTTTTGGATGAGATTTTAAACTCGTCAATAGGACTTATAAAAACTGGGACAGGGCCGTATAGAAATGTAACCATACCATCCATAAGATCAAAGGAAATTGCTTGGAAATCGGGAATGTAAGTTTTGTCTTTGTTGTCAAAATGTATGTATACACACATGGCCGCAAAAAGTACAATGAATCACTTTATACAAACAAAATGAATCAACAAATGGACCAACTCGAATATACATTGATACATTAATGCTGGTTGCCACATAACAGATGAGCTCTAAATATTCATTTCGCAGAAGTAGAAATCATCTGACTTGAAGAGATTTTTAGAAGTTCACATTTCTATTGTGATTTTGATGCTGAAAAAAGTTATCTTACGGGAATGATTAACTTCATAAGAAGATGGCTTGTAGCTTAGTTGATATTGCGTATTCTAAGGTGGTGATTACCCATTTCGAATTGCCTAAGGAGCAATCTTTTGATTGGGCTCTATGAGAACTTCGTGGCATTCTACCCACTTACATGGGTCCTTATTGGAGCTAGATGCTAAAATATTTAAGGTCCTGCCCTTGGGTAATAGAAATGTTCCCTGCGGGTCGTTGAACCCACATCACGATATTGATTGTGTTCTCAAATTGAATTTGTACCCCCTAAACGTTCGGTGTTTAGTTTATAAACCTCAATTTCGCTACTCAAAACAGAGACAAATTTATTGTGTGACACTGATGCCTGATAGATGAACGATGTTTACATGTGATGGCTGACAGAATAATATAGGAGAGAGACAGGGAGAGAGAGAGAGAGAGAGAGAGAAAGAGAGAGAGAGAGAGATAGGGGGGAGGGTGATAGAAAGAGCGAGAGAGAGCGAGGGAGAAAGAAAAATAATAAAGATAGATATTAAATATGTAGATGGATAGATTGATAGAGAGACAGATAGAGAGAGA